GGCGTGAGAATTAAAAGCGCTGACGCAGTACGCTAATAATCCTGGCGAAAAACGTAAAAGTCGGGTTTCAGCGCGCGCGCGCGCGCGCGCGCGTAGGAGAGGTATAAAGTATTCCACCTCGAGCGTCTACGGTAGCGCTTTACGTCAGTATAAATGACAGCGATCCACAATAGCATCTACGCTCCCCCGAAGTACACCGCGCGGCGCGCCGTAAAGGAACGAAGTGAAGTATATATGACTGACATATGAGAGTCAGTCAAGCCGCACACGCTTAAGATCGCACGTATGGCACACGGTATATAACGGCGTGGTGTATGCTCGTAACGGGTAACGCGGGGCCCTGCTCGACCCGGCTACCCGTCATTAAAATTCAAGGGAGATTGGGCTTGATCCGGCAAATCCCGCAGAGAAGCCAGCAGCGAAACTGTTCCAACAGACGAAAGTCCCTCCGAGCCGTGAAGTGTTAGAAATGCCCGCTGCCCGCAGAACTTATCGTCGACCGGCGGCGAACACGGAAAGGAGCGTCCCATACTTCATCCGAAGGAACGGGCGAGCGACGGGTGCTCGATTAACAGCTGACCGCGTTGTCGATAACGCAATCGTCCGTCCAAGATATTTTCCGATGTTTTCGATGCGATTTCTTAATCTCGTATTAAAGGTACTTTTCTGCGCTCTATAATGGAAGAGTTATACAGTCGTGACATTTTACAAGAATTTTATCAAAGTCCCTACATATCGCGTAGCCAATGTTTTACATTTATAAAAACATTTTATTCGTACGCAATTATTTTTACGTCACAAAATGCCACAAGTTTATTCATCTGTAATATGCGTACGTGTCAAGTAATGCATATACATCTTTTTTCACAATCAGATGTAAATGCAATTGACAAATAAATCCAGATGCACTCGGGTGCGATCTAAACAAATTAGACATTTAGTTTGTCATCGTTGGTAGAAAAACGTATCACACAAAGAAACAGTGAAATAGGTATAAATCATAGATATTGAGCGATTATAAAAAAGTACGAAATTCAGCTCACTTTGCTAAAAAAAAAAGCTATATAGAAAAGTATTACTCTTTAAAAAACAGTATTGAAAATTTCATATAAATGCTGTACACGGAACAATTCGTGATAAAAACAATGTTTCGGCTTTAATATCGGTTCTGCCTATAAGCTACGTCAAAATCTACCTAATACCTATTGCTATTCTTACCGTTCGAAGCAACCGTATCCAAAACGTATCTCGAAAATAAATTAGGATAAGGAAATAGTCAGTCGAAAAATATAGTGCGAAGAATATAATATACATACTATGTAATATACCTAATGCGGCACCTTTAACTTAAGAGATTACGAAGAGCGTAGCAACGAAAATCTACTGCGTGGAACGGAAGCATTTTAGCGTAGAATTAGAGCGTAAGAACGAAACGCCGCGCTGCACGCGCGCGAACACTATCGATCATCGGGGGGGGGGGGGGGCTAGCTGCGCTCTCGAGCACGTACGAGATTCGTCGAAAGTGTTTTAGAAAGCGTTTCTTTCAGCGCAACGTTAAACAGGGGGGATCGACCTTACGTCGTATTTGACCTGGACGGTGGCGCGACGGGAGTAAACCCCGCTTTAAAATTCGACCGGGCGCATGGCATTCGTAGGATGAGAATCTGTTTGTCGAGAGGATGAACTGCTGCTTCTGCTGCTGCTGCTCCGCTGTTGGAAACACTATAACTCCCGGCATGATGCCGTGACGTGATCCGTCTGTATGATGAGTTGCGAGAACCGTTAGCGATGATAAACGTGTAGCGCGGCTTGTCGTAACTTTTTGACTTATGACAAAACGGGACGCGGAGGAAGAGGGGGGATGGGGGGGAGGGAGGGACGGTCCTGTTGCCATTTCAGCAAATTTCGATCCGTCCTGGAATTAATCACCACCGGCGGTAAATAAGCCCGACCGAATTTATCGTTCATGGAGGACGTAGGGTAGGGGAGGGAAGGGGAATATTAACGCGTGCGGAATACGCTTTGATGCACATGTAAACGTGCATTATAGGCATTGCGAATCAACGAAGCCAATCATTAGGCATGACAGAACTAATTAACGATAGATACACTGACTATTATCAAATAGAAATAATTCGTTGTTTTGTTAATTGATTGACAGTAATATATAATCCCAAATTTAAATCATTTAACCGTGACAAACAGCAAAATGGTCTCTACTATTCAATATTTTGGATAAATAAAAGGCAATGGTAGAATTGCACAAAACTAGGTACTCTTTATCACGAAAAGACAGTTCAGACAGATGAGGCTTCAAGCGGACAAAATTTAATTACAAAATATATTATATCTTCGAGGATAAAATTGTGATTTAAAATTTATAATGAGAAACTCTTCTCGCGATGACCATGAAATGATTAAAATAGAACGTATCTTCTCTGTATTGCCTTGTTAATTCATTCAAATTATAATTAGAATATGCATCCTTGTTAAATGACACATTGTGCATTTAACGTCTATCTGCGGTATATGACGTCACGTTTGACAAGCAATTTGGACTAAACCTGTGCACGGAAAGAACGATTTTGCTGGATACAAATCTGAAAATAATTTGGAAATTCAAACTGAAACAAAACAGAATTTTACAGAAATGGTCATCATTTTTGAGTTTTTAAAAATTATTTAATAGTCCAATAAAAATTATTTTCAATTCTATATCCAGCAAAATCTTTAAATCTTCAAGCAAAATCGTTTTTTCCATGCGTGTAATGTATTTTTCGCATCGTTAGAGAGAATCAGATCGACATTAAACACGCGATCCAAGTACCGAAATGCGATTTCCTCGACTCTTTGGGGTTCCGCGCTTCGTTGCAGCCCGTTTATCTTTGACCCGCTCGACACCGCCACCTAAAATGGAACATCTCGTGCGAACAGCACCAGTCGCGTTCCTTTGTAAGCAACAACGATGCTCGCTTAGATATTCGAGCAGAGGAAACAACTGAATACCAACTAAGGAAAGCCAATCGCCCGGTCATCCTCACATGCGAGATACTAACGTTTCACCAAAAGCCGCGACCACGAACTTCCTCGACTCAAGTAACCTGAGATCCATCGCAAAGTAAAATGCTTGTCTTTGACGAGAACTAAGTATGTGTGTACGTGCGCAACTGACACGACCCGTAATTTATTGCAACGTTTATTAGATAGCGCTTTCATCTACACATTTGTCTTGCCGTGAAATTTTTTTAACGAGAAAGTATCTCCATTTGCTAAAACATTTCACTAATTGATAAGATTTGGTAAATTAATCGAAATCAATCAAAAAATTAATTATCAATGTACAAAAATAATCGTAGATTCAATTTGTAATAAGTTATTACTCCATTAAGCAATTTCATGTACGTCGTCATTTCAAATAGATAGAAATAAATATTTCTCTTAGGAAAATCTTATATTAAGTGAATCTTGATTAACTTTCTCCAAGTCGCTAGTTGAAATTATACAGCAGAGGAAATCTGAATGGCGAAGCCGTTAAGATTATCACGACGATCTAGTGAGTCTTTCAAGCAGCTCCCTCGACCACACTTTGACATTATTAACACTTCCGCCGCTTACTATGAAGCGCGCTAATATCTTTCATTCCAATGAAAAATTCCACCAACGGAAGTTAAGTTCCACTCGCATTGTTACCGCGTTAGCGCGGTGAAAAACTTTCCGGTCTGGGTACGTTAATTATTCGATCGATCTCTCACGTCACGTGCAACGAGCATTGTACTCCACGGTGATGATACGCAAGGGCAATCGAATGGAATCTACGAGCGCATCGCGACGCGAGGCCTCCTCTCTATCGCGCGTCGGGATTAAGATGCGAATTTGCGAGGTTCTATCCGCGCGACAATAGAGTCGCGTGTCAAAGAGCGAAGTTTGATCCGACACAGATCCGTGGCGTTCATCAAACTTGTCTCGTCGCAGTCCGGAATTGCGCCCCGGTCGGCATAACTCGTTACGCGATGCTCCCGTTGCCGCTTTTTGACGGATCTCTTTTTTTTTTTTTCGTCACCTTTTCATCCGAACTATTTCATCTCGTGTAATAATGAGTCGACACGTACCGCTTTCAAGAGGCTTTCGGAGGGGGGCTTTCGACGAGGCAAACGAGGGCAACGCTCGGCAACGTATGTCGCGCAACCGTATTTGCGGATGACCGACGGGGGCGGCGAAGTAAGTGGCGGTAAACGAGCCGCAGTGTCACCGATATGCAAACACCGGACCATTGACGGGCCGCTTGGCTCCGAAAGCAGCGTCCGAAACTACCATCAAAGAGAGGAGTCCGCCTTTGATCCATCAGTGTTAAAATATTCGTTGTAAGCCGATGTCCGGTTCGAATCGCCGCAATGCCATCCGGCGCAAAATCAGTCGTTCGCACATCGTAATTAAACGATATCTAAAGAGTTAGAAGAGGTGGAATTCGAAAACTCCGAAAGCGTGCGCTTGATCGCGAATGAATAAAATATTTCTTTTCGGTAAATTACACACGATTTTCAAGCCAATGTCAGTATAGCATTAAATATAAATATAATATGTATAATATATATAATTGTTTGCTTTCGCGTTCTTGTACCTAAAGAAATATGCTATTTGATACGAGGATGTAAAGTATATTTTACGATGCCTCTCGCTTTCGCGAACTGTACCTTGCTGCTTCCTTTGACGACGGAAGGAAACAAGTTTAACGAATATTCCCTCGATTTAATTTTCAGGCATGATATTAGGCGTAACTCGATTATATAAAATTAATTCCATAAGAACACCCCTTCAAACCACTTATTTAACTTTCGCTTCTCAAAACTTCCGACTAGCTCGTTTCACGTTTGATAAACAGATAGCTGGAAATGGTCGATAGAAATACCAAAAAGCGGGACCCAAGTAGATCCGCTGCTCCGACCTTCGAAAGCACGCGCAAATACGATAAAATACAACAACGAAATTCAACAGCCACTTACTGTCCTTCACGCAGAACGCGCCGATAATCCAGAGCGGAAAGAGCGGCACGACGAGCACGTTCAAGTGTCTCGCATTCGCGTTGTACCGTAGACTCCTACCGTCGTGCGGCCTAAAGTAAATCATGATCGTTCCACGTGACGGGACCAACGCGGCACGATCATAGCAACACCGATCACCAGGGTACGAACGTCGTCGTCGTCGTCGTCGTACATCCACCCGCACTGTCTGAACGCACACTGATCCAACGGCGGATTCACTCTTTCCTCCTTCGAAGAGCTTTTAGCCGTGTCCGGAGCCCGGACGGCGCGTCTGCTGAATATCGCCGGCGCGATATACGCGCATTCTTTCTTTTTTTTCTGAAGGCGGATTTTCGGAGGCACGAGACAAGAGACCGGCCGTCCGGAGACCGATCGGAGCGCGCAAGCGATCTCCGATCGTTGCTGAGAGCGACGATTCCGCGACGCGCGCGAGCGACACACGACGTTGAAATAAGGCTGCGCTGGACCGCTGGACTTGCGGAAGTACTCCTTGGAGACCGGATGATAGATCGCGATCGCGGAAGTCGAAGCTGTGTGTGGTGGACCGCAGCGATTCTTCGCGTCGCGGGATCACATCGTCGATGTCTGTTTGGCGGTATCCAGTGCCACGCGCGTTTTTCGGTACTTCATTCCAAGATCCCTTCGCACTTCTTTTTCTTTTTCTGTTGACCCACACTTTGTTCGTTCTTCACATCGTTTTTCCGCCTCCGCGACTTTTTCCCCCCGTCGCGTCGATCCCTTCGTATGTTTTCCTTTTTCGCGCTATTCCCCCAAGTTTCTCTCGCACTGCCGATTCTTTTTCCACCCCCCTTGGAAGACCTTCAGCAACTTTCTCAATCCTCCTCTCCCTTCCCCCGGGAATAACTTCTTTCTTTTTCTTCACCCGGCGTTCACTCGCATCCTCCGATGACACGTTCGATCGGCACGTTCCAGCGCTTCAAGCACGACGACGTGATGCGCGCCACTCTCACAGCGTCAGCGTGATTTCGCACTCCCTCCACGACTGTATCGGGCCGAACCGTGTGCGGCCGCCGCACACCGCCGTTCACCTGCTGCGGCCACCGCTGGTGCCGCCACCGACGCGTCGTTTCCGCCGCCGCCGCCGCCGCCAGCCGACGTCGACGTCGCGGGGTCGTCGTCGCCGTCGTCGTCGCCGCCGTCGCTACCACCACCGCCGCCGCCACCACCGTTGCTGCTGCCACCGACACCGTCGATCGAAAAGAGGCCCCTGTGTTGTACGCGCCCGCGCACACGCTTTACCTCGCATGCGTATTGAACGCGAGAGAACCGGTGTCTCTCTTTCTGCCTCCACTCCGCAGCGTATTCGCACACGCCGCTTCCTCTTCGCCGTTGCCGCCGCTGCTGCCGGTTGCGCTCCGTCGTGGGAGTCTGTTAGTGTCCTCCCTCTTCTTCCTCTCACTTTCTTCGAACTCGATTAATGCAGTCAATTTTTCCCCTGCATCTTTTTCTACATTTATATGTACATACGATCATATAAATTTGCTTTATATAATGAAGTCTTCTTTATTCAATTTTAAATTATATTTGCATCAATGATTGTGATATTTCATTAACCTATTACGAATCGTTCAAATAAATTCGTATTAAAAAGAAAAATCACTTCATATATTAAAATACTTCATTTATTATATTCCATTGTAACGTTGTAAAGATTTTTATCATCATTCTTCTATTACTGCAAATCATGTACTTGACAGTGTTTGTTTTAAAATGATAAAGTACGTGGCTTTTCTCCTCTTACAATCCCTTTGTTTTTGAGCCACGTAATCTCTTCCTGCGAGTCTAAATCGGCCGACGGGCTTGTGTCGGAGGGTAGAATAATGCGATAGGGTAGGTGAAGTCGAGCGAAAGGGTGAAGCTTAGATTGATTTTGAATGTGCGTAAAGTCGGGATGTCGTTCAAAGCCAAGAGTGCACCCTCAACAGCGATTTATTCTCAAGAAAAATGGAGTCTCCTCTCGTATTCAGGCCTTGCAATTCGCCTGTTGCCTTTTTCCCTAATGCAGCGCGTAACCAGAACACCCACATATTTATTTGACTAATTTTATAAAATTAAAATCGTGCAGGAAAAGAAATATCCCAATTGGACGCTCAGAAGTGAAACGAAATGACAGATCATTGAATGTGTGTTACTTTTAATTAGAAACGCGACACATGTAATCCCCAGATGCGCGTATACAATAATCTTTCATTTGCAAAGTGCAACAAGTGAGCTCAGCTTCATGCAGCTTACGGAGTTTCCATATACCAGCTTACGTAACATTTCTTTTTTATCTCCTTTTTTTCTTCTTCGCATTACACATAGCAATCTTTGCCTACGTTTTTCAGTTACTCCTTTATCCTTCCGTGTTTCGCCCTATGGTTAGATACGAAAGACAGTCTAATGGAGATAGTTTTCTAAAGAAAAAGGGACGTGTGTGGAAAAAGGAAGGCTCGAAGATGAAAGGGACCGGTATCTTCGTTAATTTTGTCCCTCTTTCTCTTTCTCATCGCAGGAATTGCGGCTTATCTGATCTTTCCCAGGTCTGCACGCTAATTCTCCTTGTTACTGCTCTTTTCATATGCCATCAAATTTTCTCAACGCGCGAGCAAATTTTAATCGCAAGCGAATGCGCGATATGTGTCTTCAAACATGGGAGAATGCAGTACGCCATTGATTTATCTCTTGTCTAAAATATTTTTACAAGAGTTAAAATGTGAATTTACATTTTTATACACGTACGTGCGGAACATTTTCCGATCTACCACGCTGTGTACACATTCCGAAAAACGTATTCGTACATAAGTTTATAAAATATTTAGGCATTCGAAGAAGAGAGAATGTTATGTGTGTTCCTAGAGATTTATGTTGATTTTAAATATGGATATATTATAGATGTAGAAGATATACAAGGCGAGAGAAGAATATTTTCTTTTGGCTAGCAAGAAGAAATGTAGTAAAAAAAAAAGAAAAGAAAAAAAGAAATAGTTAAAAGTCGCATTTGAGGAGTCTCGGGCATAACTATTTTTCTCTTTCTCCCCCGGCACACAATTTTTTCCACTCTTAATGCGTCCTCCTCTTTATTCGTTAATCCTTGCTCTCTCTCTCTTTCTCTCTCACTCTCTTCCTCTCTTTTAAGATAATTCTTTTGTAACGTCGCCCGGAATTCCTGCGTACGGCAAGAAATTCGTGAAAAAAAAGAGGTATCATGGTTCTGCAAGGAAGACTGGAATTTGTTACCGCCAAAGAATGTGCACATTTTTATTGGGTTTGTCTCAGTATAAATATCGAATCGATTTTAGGAAAATATCCGATATCCTGTTGAATAACAAATAATAATAAAATAAATTAAATAAATAAAACAAATAAAATACGGACGTAATGACAGGATGCAAATGAGTTATCTATATTAAAATTGACGTGTAACACAATTATTTCACGGCATCGCAAAATGTAATATGCCGATTTAGAAACACATATTTATTTTCGCGTAAATATAATTGAAAATAAAACATGATCTGGATTACGTTGATTATATTTCTGAGGTATAATTATTACGCGCATACATAATGTATATGGATATTGCGATATTGCATAGAACAAGACTCAGCCGTGTCGCGACTCCCTTTCTCGACATTGCTAAAAGTGCTCCGCCAAGAAATGATGCCCCATCGAATTCTTGGCAGCGCCTTATATCTGCCGGAAGCGGACGATGAGGACCGTCGAGGTTGAAGAACGAAATTGGACTTCCTACGTGCGAGACGGCACGCAGAACGAGCACGGCACTTTGTCACGGATGTGTTTCACATTCATTTACAGATATACTCACTTCGCATTCCGAATATTGGATTTCGTTCGCCCATAGAACTGTTCCTTATTCTTCTCTACTATTTAAATGCTACTTGATTAGTCTCTATTCAAATATATAATAAAATAAAAAGGCAATAATGATATACTTGTACGCACAGAGACATTGAGGACATAGAAACTTTTGCATTAATCATATAAAATAATATTTACGAGTGTATAAATAATACATACATACATACATATTACGGAAATATTTGCCGTAGTACATTACACAATAAGATTCTTAGAATTAATCGCAGAATAGATATTCTCAAAGCATTTTCCTGTTTGTTTGCGAACAGCCGTGGACTACAACAGTTATTTGAATTCCGGAGATGAGTACGAATATTCGGTATGCGGGTAAAACGTCTTAGATTCAATTTTTCGCAAATGGGTTCTTCGTGGTGGAGTGTAGAGAGAATCTTTCTATATAATATGGCATGAAAATTTGATGCGAAAGAAATTGGATTTAAGCTGTAGTGCGCTACGCCAAACACATTCGCGTATACGATATATTGTCCAAGGAGGAAAACGCAATGTATTTGCTACTCCGACGGTAAACAATATTAACAAACGATGGAACGCCGTCCAATTTTTTACGTCTCGATGATTTGCGAATTACAGTCAAGTCGTGCGAATCAATCCACGCGCGGTACGCGGGGAGGATGGCGGAGGGAGAGGCACTTCTATCGGTACTATAGAGGGGGGGGGG